CAAGATATCAAATGACATATTACATTAGGCAGATCTGCTGCAAATAACCTCTTTAAAATGTTCAAGAGCAAAGATGTCAGTATGAGGACTAAGGTGTGCCTGACCCATGCCATGGTTTTCAGTAGTCTCATATGCATCTGAAAGTTAGACAATGAATAAGGAAGACCATAGAAGAATTGATGCATTTGAGTCATTGAGTTGGAGAAGAGTAAAGTACCATGGTCTAGCCAGAAAAACAAACAAATCTGTGTTGGAAGAAGTACAGCCAGAATGCTCCTTAGAAACCAGGATGATGAGACTTCATCTCTCATAATTTGGATATGTTGTCAGGAGAGACCAGTCAGCAAAAAAAGGAAGACACCCAAGATGAATGGGCACAGTGACAGCAGCAATGGGCTCAAGCATAACAATAATTGTGATGATGCAGCTGGACTGGGCAGTGTTTTGTTCTGTTGTGCATTGGGATCACTATGAGTTAGAACTAACTTGACAGCACCTGACAACACTCATGGTCATATAGATATCATCCTAACACTGACAGCACTGTACTTCAGGAGAGCACTTGAGATGGTGTTTTTGATGATAAATGTGATTCCATTCCTCTTCAATTTGTTTTTCCCATCATAGTAAACCATATGATTGTCTAATTCAAAATGGTCAATACCACTCGATTTCAGCTGACTAATGCCTTAGGGACACCACTTGTCTGTTACTTTGTCATACTGTGGTGGTTTGCATGTTGCTGTGATACTGGAAGCTGTGCCATGGGTATTTTAAATACAAGTAGGGTCACCCACAGTGGGTAGGTTTGGGCTGAGCTTCCAGACAAAGATAGACCAGGAAGAAGGAGAGATGGACAACTTCCAAATATTTAGTCACTGAAAACCTTATGAATATCAGTGAAACACTGTCAGATATAATGCCAGATGATGCGCCCCTCAGGTTGGAAGGAACTCAAAATGCAACTGGAAAAGAGCTACCTCCTCAAAGTAGAGTTGATCATGATGGCATAAATGGAGTAAAGCTTTTGGGACCTTCATTTGCTGATGAGGCACAACTCAAAATGAAGAGAAACAGCTGTAAACATCCATTAATAATCAGAACATGGGATGTATAACTTATGAATCTAGAAAAATTGGAAATCGCCAAAAAGGAAGTAGAACACATAAACCTCAGTATCTTAG